TGCAGGCCCAGGGAAGCAGAGAGAGGTGAGGGCGGGGTCAGGACCAGAAGCGGTGCTCCTGGAGCCCAAGAAAAGGGACTGAGTTGCTCTGTGTGAGAAGGATCAGGAAACAGTATTGGTTCCCCAGGTGTCTGGGGCCCCAAGACTAGGAATGGCACAGGGTCCAAGCTAGAGTATAGAATGCCAGGCGGGGGGGCAGGGGGGTGGGGGGTGGGGTGGAAGGGTGAATGAGGCTTAGGGAGTCCCGGCGCGGAGAGCTACGCTATAGACTTACCCCAAGAGGCCTGAGGATACTAGTGCAGGCTAGGAGAGTTAGCTGGTGGTCTATTAATTCTTTTAAGGGTACCAACCTTAAGATTTACTTTGGAATACCAACTCTGAGAGTAAGTTGCTCAATAAATTTTTGCTAGATAGATAACACATAGCACCAGTAGTTGTGTTCCCGGTAGACAGTTTCAACATATATAACTTACTCGCTCAGCAAAGCCGGCCTACACCAGACCGTAGCCGGGAGCTAGCGAACCACCAGCCAAGCCATGGGTTTTAACGCCTGTCCCAACAAAGGCAATCATGCAACTGTGCACCACGAAACACTAAGGGTCCTTTTTCATATAAACTCTACTTCTCATATATATTCTAGTCTTCGTGAAAAGTGCTACCTGCCAACCTGCATAATCTTGTGTAGTCCTGTATCCATCCCCTCACTTGGGTAAAAGTTAAAGCTCAAGCTCACCAGGCTCGTTAAATGCCCTCAAGGTGAAAGCTGGATTTAGTTCTTCAGTTTTCTCTTTCTGTACTTTATGGAACTGAATGCAGAACACAGACAGTGCCTTAGGAGTTAATTTGCTAGTCACTATTTCAATAAAAACACCTATTATTTGTCCCCTTATTAAAAGAACTTGCTAAGAAAGTGTTTACTAATTGCTTCTTTATGTTTTTTTCCAGATATGAACTTTCCAGTTGTTCTCCAGCCTACAAATACAAATGAGAAAACACAGCTAATCAGAGAAGGATCTCGAAGTTACTGCACAGACTCTTGATATTGGGGCCCATGGAGGGTTCACAGTTCCTCTTCTTGATTCAGCCATGTCTTTGGGTGGTCATGGGGGAGGCAGGAACATGAAATGCTGTGAACGTATTAACGTTTGTATTTTATTTTTAGGTTAAGGGGAAGATGATTGCTACATAATTTTCTCAGTATGCAGACTTTCTCTTTGAGTAGAATTCCTAATGAAAAACATTTCGTTTTGATGAATAAAGGCCTGAAGAGTTGGTTTATGCTCTTCACATGAGATAAGACAGTGGCTTTAACAGTCCCTATGAGTCTGATCTTAAGGTGAGACAGACCATCCTTGTCATAGACTAAAGAAGTAGTGTTTCTAAAGAGAAGACCCTCTTAATCCATCTAACTAAATGCAATATTCATATCTACCACAGGTATCATTAATAGAATATGTAGAAGAATTTAGGAGGAGTTTGTGTTTGTGGAGCTCTTTGTTGATATTTAATATGGCTATAGAAATATGACTTAAAAGAGAAATCACATTCTTTTAAAGTATATCTTAGAAGATTAAAAATAGGCGCTTACTGAAAACTAATGAATAAACCAAGAACAAACATTTTGTGTGTGCTTTTAGATTGTCTTTAAAAATGTCAGAACAAGGCAAAAATATTCAACCTCGCTAAACCTTGTGAGCCAGAGAATCAATGTGAGCTTAAACTAGCTCCAAACAGTGTGTTGACCATTTCCTTAATAAAATAATTTTTATATGACCTGCCCAGGTTAGCAAGACTAAGGAAAAGAGACATATGAAGTAAGGCATAGAAGTTTCACTTCTATAAAGTCACATTTAAAAGCATATCATCCCACTTTGATGGAATTCGTTATGTTGAACAGCTCTGTGCATGCTGGGCATTTCTGAAGTCAGGTCTGTATTTGCTTGTTTGATGCCTATATGCATCATGTGGTAGGGACCACACACTATTTCTAAAATAAAATAGCAGCAGAATTATTTGTTTTTTTCTGAGATTTCTTAGTACTTTATATTTCATTTTCAAGATCTTGTTATATTTTTATATAATATCGCATAAAATGCCATCTTCTTTTTCCATTGTTTCTTATTCCCCCACCACCAAATTATAGTCAATTGCTGCTAAATATACATTGTAAGTGAAAATTAGTGTTATAGTTCTGACAGTTCTGAAGTCATTAAAACTCTGCCCAAATTCTTGAGTTACTGGAATTATTTCCCCCCTACATCATGAGGTAGAAAGAGCCTTGGTTTCAAAGTTAAGAAAACTAATTCTAATCCATGCTGAGACTGGCTATGGGGTAGCTAGCCAAAGGGACATAGCTCCAGACTACACTAGCAGCAGTTCTTTTCTGAGACCTCCATCCAGGCAAAACCAGGATTCATGGCTTGGACAGAGGAATGAATTTCAGGGTGAATCAAATATGAAGCAGAGTTAGATTGGTTGAAAATAGAAAGGTGCTCTAGGAAGGAGAGCAAAGCAGACCCAATAGGACAACTGTGGGTTTTGTTAAGGGAAAGTGGCAGTTATATCTCTTTACAATCAGTATCTGTAGGATTTGCATGATTCTTAAGTTGTATCTCTGAAGACTGCTAGGAAACTGCTATCCTTCTTTCTAGGATTGCCCAAAGGATGTAAGTTTTAGAAAGGTTAAAAGTTACAGAATTTGTCTCAGTACACAAAATTGTGAGGTAGACTTCTGAGGGGCATTATCTAGGTCTAGAAGAGAGGAGTCCTAAGGAGGCTACAAGTCATCTTAGCCCTAAGGAGCACAGTCTTTAGCATCTTTGATTGGAGGTGTCTTTGGGAACATATCATTTGGCCCTAAGTAAGAACAATTTATTTAGTCTTTGGCAAGGTGCCTTTGGAATTCACATACTGTCTTGGTGGACCATCTGACCCCATCAATGATGTCTGAAGCCTGAAATTCCCTTTCTATCTCAGCAGTAAAAGCAGAGGGGGTCCTCTGAACAGAGCCTCCCTCTCCCAGCAGTTTCTCCCCATGTCACCACGATTCCTGGTCTTTCTTTCCTGCCTCACCTGGGACGAGGAGAAATGAGAATAAGATGATTAATATGTCTCTGGCTATGAGTTCACGTCTCCTCTGATGGCTTTCTAAGTTGCTAGAAGATGAGATGAAACTTCCAACATGAAGGAACGTCTAGAAAGTCAAGTATTTAGCAAATGTAAGCCACTTTTACATGAAACTGGATGTGCTGAAGCAGACAAATACTGCGTGACTTCTTATGCATATAAACTCTCTTGCCCGACAAGACCTATGAAGACACCCAGTATTAATAGCCCCAATAACCAGCAGTGCCTGGAACTCTGTACTCAACAAATAAATGCTACTTTGCATTTGGAGGAAACAAAAGGCTAAATAGCCCAATCTGTGGGTAATTTGAGCCTTGACCTCTCCTTCCTGTGCTCTCTCTCCAGGAAGGCCAGGCTTATTTTTGAATAACAAGTTACAAATCACAAACTCACCTTCTCTTTCTCACATAAAATTTTTAATTTATTTCTATCTTGTGTAGGCAGTTGGATGGTAGGCACCCATCCAAGGGTGACTAAAGAGCCAGGCATGAACTGGAATCATAATCAAAGTAATAGAATCAAATCCTAGAGGACTTCCACAGGACCGATTTCTGGCTCCAATGATGTGTGGCAAATGGCTCTGAATGAGGGAAAGAATTTTGCAGAATGCTCCTCAGCTATGCACGGATTCTTCACTGAGATGGGACTGTCCAATTTTCCTGTGGCTGTCAAAAAGAACTGCCACCCAGAATCACCTGGGGTTATAACGAATCTATAAGCATCTTAGCAGAGAAGCATTAAAGAAAGGAGTGAGATGCTGATCATCAGCTTTGGCAATGGTCCTGCAGAGTCCAACAGCCCTCTTCAGTGGTACCTGCCTAATCCTTGGTAACAGTCTACCAAAGTGAAAGAGTCTAAAATAATTTATTCTCTTTTAATATTAGAACGTAATCTCACTATGTAGACCAGGCTGGCCTTGAACTCACAGAGCTCCAACCTGCCTCTGCCGCCCAAGTGCTGGTATTAAAGGTGTGTGCTACCATACCCAGTGAGAACATAATCGTAAAACTATACATACAAACACCAAAATACATATCTTATTTTCAGAGTAGTTTATATTCTATTTCTACTTTGCAAATGGTATGTAATCTAAAACCCATTTGCCATTGCTGGACTGGAAATGCATTGACCTGATAGGGCACTCACTACCTGGGTCTCTGACTTACAGAGAGGATTCCAATTAAGATTACATAATCTCTATGATAGACATAAGCAACCCCACCCTCCCTTGGATATGCAGCTCCTGACACCTGGTGTCTGTGAATACACAATCTTTTGTAGCAGAAGGGTGTAGGCAGATGTGACTGTGTATACCTTGAGGTGGGGAGATTATCCTGTGTTTCACAGATAGCTCCAACATAACCACAGGTATCCTTGAAACTGGATTATGGGGTTGGGGGGAGGTAACTATAGATGAATACTCAGAGATATACAATGCAATTGAACCTGAAAGAATGATTAGAGAACTGCTTCAAAGATAGAGGAGGAAGGAAGCTCTGAGCCAAGAAACACAGGCAGCCTCTAGAAGATAGAAAACTCAAGGAAAGGGTTTTTTTTTTTTTTTTTTTTTTTTATAGAACCCCCAAAGAGAAACATTGTTGGATAAAATTGGAGAATCTACAGGTCCAACAGGCAGGGAAATATTTTCAGATTAAAGATCTTTTAATAACTCTGGCCACTGCAAAGGACGTTCTGAGGCTGAGCTCCCAGCAGCAGCCAGGGACTAAGGAAATTTCCTTGCTTACAGGTTACTAAAGGGTTAAAGATCTCTAAGATAACACATGGCCTATACTAAGAGGAATCCAGAGGCACTAGATAAGGGAGTAGGGTCATAATTCAAGCTACCTCTGTTTGGGCTGGGCAACTGCTGCAGGAGGCTAGGCTTGCTTTGCCCTGGCCTACCAGAGGCCTCAGAGCTCAAACAGTCACTGCAGGCAACAGGCCAGTTCTTTGCCCCCTATCTAAGAGACTGCAGGCAGAGGTGTGGCTATATCCTTCAAAGAACATTTGGAGCCCTACTAACCTTGACCTAGCAAATGATTTTGCCAACAGCTAGATTTTGTCCTGGCTCACTGCTCTGCTCTCTAACACAGCGGGGTGCCTCGTTTGCTTCCTCCTCCTCCATTTCTCTCATGTCTCACTCCCTGGCCTCCAGTCTATAACTTCATCTTCTCCTTTGTCCTTCCTCTGGTTCCTCAGTTCAGATCCTTGCCTGTCCTCCTTTCTCCCACCTCTACCTTTCCATCCGCCCTCATTCCCCTCCCTTCCCTTATCTTCTTCCTCCCCATTGTTCACTCTGTACCTGCACACTTCCTGGTCACTCAGATATACTGAACTGTTGTGAAACCAACCACAACCACAATGGAGTATTTAGTTAAGAATGATCTTGAACTCCTTAGCTTCATTTTCTGATTCTCCTGTCTCTACCTCCCAAGTGCTTGAAATATAGGCATGCTTGTACACCACAGTGCATGAGTCAACCCAGGATTTCCTGTATACTGGGTAAGCACTCAACCGACTGAGCCACATCCCCAGACCATGTTCAATTCTCTCAGATTCCATGTATGTGAGATGATGTGGTATCTGACCTTCTGTGCCTGGCTTACTTCACTAACACAATGTCCCTCACCACCCTGGCCTCGGCTTGGACCATGGAAGTGGCCGCTGGAATTTGAGACCTGATCCAATTGTTGGGGTTCTTTGAACTAAATGTGGATTTGAAAGATTTGGAGGGAGTGCCTAGAAGCCCTCAAAACTTGAGTCTTCACAGGGAACAGCCACTATAATAGGGTGGTACTTGGATTCCTGAGCGATAAGATTAAGTAGTAATGGCTTCATAACCCTGATAAAAGAATTGATCCCTCAAAGAATCGTACAGGCTTACACACTGAGTCCTCAGAAGTAGCCAGGCTGGAGCAAGATGAGGGTTGGAAACTCACCAGAGGACCAAGGTATAAACCTCTATTGACCTCACAACCCTAGCAAGACAAGGAACTCAAAGCCTTCCTAAGTAAAGTTTCTTGCTACCCTCTTAAGCTACAGCTCTGAGCCAGAGATAGATTAATTCAGAACATAAAACAACTCTATTTGGAACATGAAGATGAATCTTCTAAATCTTTTTTCAAATGGCTCTACTGTGAGCCCTTC